TTTTTTTTTTTCACTGTATGGACTGCTCAACTTCGAAAAACTTTTTTTGTTGTGATCTGTGCCAACCATTGTATTACTCCAGACACATCTTTCACCAGAAAAGAATAACTGCTGAAATGGCATTACCTGCTAAATATCCAAATAAAAGATCTTGCAGTGATGTAGAAGCTTCTCCTCTCCCCACAAATACTGCCTTAAGACCATTGAAGGTGTAAAAGTAAAGAAAATTGGAGCAGTAAAGGCTGGACAGGACTGGAAGGAGACCACGGTACAAAGAGTACCTGTAAACCATCCACACACACAATGTTTAGTATTTTATCATTTTTTTACTTTACTTTATTTTAATCATTTTCTCAACAAACTTAACACACATACAAAGCTGAGGGGAAGGCCAAGGAACAGGTTCCCTTACAAAAGGCCACCCAAAAAAGAAAAACACTACACATACCTATGATATCATAATAAATTAAATATAATAACAATAATAAATTAGGTTAATTCAGCATCTAACTGGTATAAATAAGCCTTACAAAGACTTTTAAAATCAGAAAGAGACTCAGACTTTCTGACATGCATAAGTAAACAATTCCAGGCTTTAACTGTTCTATGGAAATAGGAATATTTTAGCATGTTTGTTCTCACATATTGAGTTTTAAATGACAGATCAGCATTTCTTAGTTCATACCCTGCATTTTTTCTGGAAATAACAAAACTAGATAAGTTAATATTTAAGAGTCCCTTTAAAAATGTGTAAAAGAATATCAAGTCAAGTAGAGTCCTTCTAGACTTAAGGGTTAGAAGATGAAGAGATTTCAGCCGCTCCATGTAAGATTTTCCTTTGATCATGAGTCATGTGGCTCATCTCTGAACGCTTTCAATCATGTCCTGCAAAAAGGCTTGGTGAGGGAACCAGATTTCCCAGGCGTGTTCAAGGTGAGGCCGCACAAGGTGTATGTAAAGCTTGCGAATCACAGCAGACTGTGTCTGATTTCCACATGTCCATTTGATTAGCCACAGGATCTTATTAGCAGAATTTACTTTAATTTGTAAAGATGTGGTCATGCCATGCTAGTGTGTGATGTAGCATTTACATAGTAATTGTTTTATACCAAGATGATAGATATTGTGGATTGGTTTTTTCTTCCTTGTTATAGAGAGCTACTTACATTTCTGTGAATTAAAGTTCATTTCCCATAGTTTACTCCAATCATGTAGAGCTGACAGATCGTTTTGGAGGGTGTAACAATCATTAAGGTCATTAATCACTCTGGCACACTTTGCATCATCTGCATAGAGGGGATTAGACTGGTACCAGTAGAAAGGTTTTCCGCAATGTCATTTACATATGCAAGAAATAGAATGGGGCCAATGATAGATCCTTGAGGAACTCCGGAACTGGCTTCCAGTCTGACGCAATGCCTTCAATGAAGACTCTGTGACGTCTATTTGTAAGATAATCTTTGATCCAGGCTAATAATGGATTTCGAAAGCAAAGCATCTCAAGTTTATACATAAGTTTCTCATGTGGTACCTGGCCAAAAGCTTTTGCCATGTCCAGGTATATGACATCAGTTTGACCACCCGAGTCAAGTGTTTTTGCCCGTGAATATTGAACAAGTTGGGTGACTCAAGATTTATGTTCTCTGAAAGCATGTTGTTCTGGGTGAAGAAGGTCTTCATGATAGCTGTAAATGTGGGTATGGACATATCTTTCAAGTCCTTTTGGCATAATGGACAACAGTGAGATACCTCTATAATTGGTAACAACATCTTTTTGACCAGATTTAAAAACAGGGGTGAGATTTGAATCTTTCCATTTCTCTGGGAAAACACCGCCTATTAATGACTTGTTGAAAATTGAGCATGACTATAAACTGATTGGAAGTGTTTATTAAAGAGATTTGCTTTACCATAGGATGACGTGACTGGGTTTTTGTCTTCTTTGTTTCTCTTTATAGCCAGTGGAAGTTTTCTAGATTTTGTTTTAGTGCTTTAAAAGCTCCAGAACTTCTTGGGTTCCTTTTCAACAGAATCAACAAGGTTATTGAGGTAGTCAGTGTACTTTTTGTGGATCAGTTTCTTTACATTTCTTCAAAGAGATTTAAAATTGTCCATATGGTCTTGGTTTTTTTATTTCAAAGCTCTTCGACTGGCCTTGTCCTTTTTTCTACACAGTGCCTTTACTTCAGAGTCTATCCAGGGGGGTGTCTGCTTGTCCCTGACCCTTTTGCGAAGAACAAATTCATTCACTGCTGCCCAGAAAAGGTCCTCCCACTTAATTACGTTCATGTTTATTTCATCATCTAACATAGCAACATGCCAAGGTATGTAGGACAGGGTTTTCCTCAGTTCATCCATGAATGTGGTTATGCAATGAATGACTAATCTCTGTCTGCTGGAGTGTGGAGGAAAAAATGTTGTAACCTGGCAATTTTATATTAGATTTCAGTTAGTAAGTCCATTCATGGTTCTTTGCATACATTGTATGTGATGAAAGAAGAATATCCATAAATGCTTGGCTTTGCTGTTGTGGATAAAGGATTTCTTTGTGTTTTTTGATTCTGTTTTGTCACTCACTCACTTATGGCCTCCGAACACCAAATTAATGCCACATTTACTCTGTCAAACAATAACAAACACTTATCATTAGGGTGAAACTGTTCCTGAGGGATGATTCAAGGCACCAGCACCAAGATGATACACTGTGACATCTGTCAGCACACCATAAAAGCAGAGAATTGCAAGAGACAATTGTATGTAAACTTTTATTTTAATGGCTTAAAGGAGAAACCCTTGCCATAACTACCTTTGAAAATCTTTTAACCAGTGTAAAGGAAAACAATTCAAATCCTTCTCAAATGGAGATCATTGATTGTGAAGAGCTTTTGTTAATCAATAAACATACCAATAACTGTGAAATATTATCCACAACATGTATGTGTTAGACTCCCTCATAATAGTACAATGCATTGTAATTACAAGTTACACTTTACAATAATCACTTTTGGTCCCAAGCAAGAAGTAGTCCTACATCAGATATGAAAAGATGTACTAAAAAACACCCTTCAGAAATGGCCAAAAAAATGTGTGGAAATGTATTCTTCATCTAACACAGCAGCACAAGACCCAGAGAAAACAGTACAACTACATAAATAAACACATTATATACACATGTACAAAAAGATTCCAAGGAATTAATTATAACAAAAATAAACAAAAAAGAACATGTTAAGGACACTAGTCAAAAGGCTCATTTTTTGATTGATTATTGATTAGTTCACTAATTTCAAGATGATCTTAGATACGTACATAGTTAAAATGTTTATCTGTTTTTCTGTATTTCTACTGGTTTTGTAATTGGACCTTTCAGCGTTACCACGCACAAGTCATATAAAAGGCAATTTTAGTGTCCCTTTCATCAGTTCTTTGTAAGTTTTGAATAGTCTTCGTAAACTTTTGTCCTTTCGTTTTCTCAACCTCTGGCACAAGCAGGACCGATATATGCGAGTACCTTTGTAACTTTGTTTTTTCTAGTCTTGTCTTTTCAGTGTTGGGCAACAATATACAAACAGATATTGCTGTATTCTCTATTGATTTAAGATAAAAGGCCAAATTCATGCCAAATGCAAGTGAACACCCATAATTTAAATAAGAACAACAGGCTGTTAACCAGCCACCAAATTTCTTTTAATTTGTATCGAAACTTTTGTTCTGTTTTATTTGTATTGCTAATCTCATTATCGATGCTGGGGCCCAGTTTTTTACACACAATTCTTTGATTATGTATTCCCCAGCTTTTCAGTAGATTGATAGAGATTTGTTGTATTGTTGTTTCAGTTTACAATCAATGGATTGATTGATTGTGAGAATAATCATTATTTTCATCATTGATTGTCGTTCGTTGTCGATTGCCTTTCGAGAATAAAGATTCGTGCAAACAGTCAATTTTGGTTTATCATTTCAATCAGTAAAATAGTCCCAAACACCTCATTAACCGCGTTTTGGAGTGACACTCCCTTGAACTTGAGAATCTAGATTTTTGGTCGCCGCAAACGTTACAGAACAGCTACCAAAGAGGAAGACTGACCAACCTATAATGAACCAAATCTCCCACCAAACACCTAAATATACAAAGAACATCCCATGAAACCCCTGGCCCTCTCAGAATAAGAATTTCGTATTAAGTTGTTATCACAAATTACATATTCTCAGCTAACAGTTAAATACTTCACCAATACTCTCCCATCTGGTATATTATACCACAATCATGACCACTCATAGACCACTGTCAATTATTTTTGTCTTATATTCTCTAAAATGTGCTTTTCAAAAATATCTGAAAATTGAAAGTTTATTTTCATCCCACATTAGGTGATTGCTGTTATTCAGGTGCATATCATGTAACCGCAAGTTTGGTTTAGAATGTTCAGGCAATAAAAACTAGTGCATTGTACACTTACTGATATTACAAATAATCAAGATTTTTTTCAACAAGACAGGAGCTAAAAGGTTCACAACTGTATTATGGGTTAAAATAAACCTGTCTACACCACACAGGTGGACAGTGTATTTTCTTTGCAAAATAATATACTGCACTGTTTGGCTGGTTCAGGGGTGATTAGCAAAGAACTATTGATTTCTAAGCAAAAAAAAAAAAAAACACCTAGAAGTGTCATCCAATGTTGCTAGTACCATAACCTACATGGAAATAACTCTACAAGTAGGATATAGTTTTTACTTGACATACTGGAAAGGAGAGCCTACCAATAGATTTTCACACTCTGGAGTAATGCAAAAAGGTCATCAGATGTAAGAATGGTCATAATAGTAATTATCATAATTCCAATAAAATTCTTCAGGTTTTGGTTTCTACTGGAAACATTATCTACAACCCGTAATTTGAATAATATCATACATACACTCCTTCCTCTTGAATTATGTCCATCAAAATATGTCCTGTGTTTTTAGCTTTTCTTTTATCATCAACTACACAGTGAAAAATCATTTAACAATGAAAACTTAATATGCAGCAATGACAGGTAAAAATTTCTAACACAAAGCTGACCTCAAACTCCCCAAAATGCCTATAGCATACACTGAGAGATTACTCTAGCATCTACCCTGGAACAAGCATCCTCTTCAAATAAGTGCCCTCCTCTCTATCTGCCAACACTTTAAAAGTGTCCAATTCATCTCAGTTGTAAGGTCTCCTTCCCCTCCCCTCCCTTCCCCTCCTCTCCCTTTCCCTATTGATATATGATCACATTAACCACACTAGTTAAGTGATGCCTTTACCAGTTTATGACAAACTGGGTAAGAAAAATGATTACCATCTGGGTTGCAAGTAAAACTTAAAGATCACATAAATGTTCTTTTATACCTAGTTTATTTTGTTTTCTTGGCATGGATATTATCATAAAGCTACAAACAATCATATCTGGACATTAAGTGAAATATCAAATACTTTTCCTCAACTAAGTGACTACTGTGCATATGTACCTCTCCAGCCATCTTTCCTTGAATTTTAAGTTAACATTCTTTGCACTTATTGGAGAATTTAGGGTATTTTAAATAAACAATTTCACCCACTTACATAAGACCTAACATTAGGTCACCAGACAAACAATGTACTAGTATCTCTCTTTTCTCCAAGGCTCTCCCTTATAGAAATACTATTAAGAACGTTTGAAAGGGAATGATAAAAATGCACCCTTCCTAATTGCTCTCCCTGAGATGTTCATACACTTTCAACTACTTTGTACAATGTACTATCTAGAGATGCTTAAATTGGTCAAAAGCTTTTGGTCAAAGGCAACCCTAGTACTTTTTAGTGCTTCTTATAAGAGTTTTTGATCAAGTGTTTTCTCTCCTTCCTTTTATATTCGAGTACCCACCCCTATGTCCCTGACCACAAATGAATGATCTTACCAACCTTGGAGTCTAGTTCTTGCAGTATCTAATGGAAAGAACACTGTCATAGCTGTCACACTTCCCTGTTTAAATAGAAAACCATTCAATTCATCATTGTATAATGGTAGGTTGGGCTTTTGAAGAATTACTATTTTGAACCATATTAACAATTTGACAAATGTCTACCTGAGTAAGAAAGAAAATCAGTCCCTGAACATACAAAGAATGATTATCTACAACACAGTCTTAGCCTTGGCCTCAATTCTCAATTACTTAACTTGCTTTTTAAAGGAATAGTATAAGGGATCAGTTGTCATGCTGTTGCAGCCAGTAAGTAATCAATAAACTCCAAGATTTTTGTTTTCACAGAATCTGTTCTACTTTTTAGGCGCTCTGCCCATAAACAGGAAATTTAAAGCTGCTTATAAGGTTGGGGAGAGGGGCTATGGACAAAATTTCCCCAGCTGGCAAGATGTCACACTTCTTGTAGTATGGTATCCCTGTGTATTATGTATACGTATCTCACGTGACTAGCACATGGAGATAGATCCGCCATCTTGATTAAAACTGTTGACATTTATATTTGTCTCATCCTGCTTCTTAATATTACACTTCTAGCTCAAATTCCCCACCACACCCAGGTAAGGTTTAAATTTCCCACCTCCTGGAAACGTACTACAGTCAAATACCTGTGGGTTAGCCACGGGGAGGGGGCGTTGAAGCTTTGAATTGATTGACACACAACAACTCAATCAATTACTGGCCCAATTGCTTTCGAACATTTGAGAACCTCTGTGTCACAGTGTTGTTGAAATCTTGCTCACTGGTCCACGGCTAAAAAGGTGATGAAAAACTATGGAAGGGTCGATATAAAAATTGCCTTTGTTGCATGCAAATTTGTCCTCGGACATCACCTGGTAACTGAAATAACCTGTGATTCCCATCATTTTCTTCCTCCTTCCAATATTCAAGCATTTTTCAACCGCGTGGGCTCTTTTATACAAAATCGTGTCTGTATTTGGTGTGGACGAATATTGTATGGTGTCACGAAATCGACCCACAGCCCCTGGGTCTCCGAGGATGAAGTTAACCATGTGAATGATCTACTTACCACTGCGCCGGCAAGAGCGTGAACAAAGTTTCTGTGGGAGAATAACATTTTGAGTGTAACAGGTAGATCCAGTGCCGGTAAAAGAGGAACCATATCATTGAAGCTTGCAGTTTTGGAGAACACGGTCATTTTTACATTTAAATATACGTCTATAACTAAGCGCTCATTCTAAAAAATTGTTTTTTCGGAGTTGCATAAGTGATAACTTTACCAACTTGGAGCCTGTGATGCTATTGGTCAGCACTATTTCACCTCAAAGCTTTGCTACCAAGCTTTGAAATGACGTCATGTAAGAATACAGCAAAGCTAAGGGAAAGCTAAGGCGAATCGTGACGAAGTATTTCAGCGATAGCGAGAAACATGTCTATGAACAAAGTCATTTGCTCCAATGGGCGGCTTACTCTTCATGGGGACTAGTAAGTAAAATTAATCATTATCAAATGGGCTGTTAGTTGGTTTTAATGATGAAATTTTACACAGTTTACGTCGTCTTTTGTCAGTGTGATATATCACCACGATGGCGTCGAATTTGCTCTGGAAGGCGACGAAATCCCTGGATTTTTGAAAGGGTCAAAGAAAGGCAATATCTTTATTACCACTCAGAAAGTAAGTCCTAATGTTTTCTTGATTTGTTGTTCATAGCCATCCATTAAAAGTAGTTATGCTGCAACCGATTTCGACCGAGTAATGCGACTGCTTGATACAAACTGTTAAGTTTCGCAATGGTGATTACAAGGAGGGAGCTCTAAGCTCAGTGGCTTGGGTATAATCCACCTATTGGCTGAACTCAGTATATGTTATGTGTAAACATAGAGCCTGAAAATTAGGAATTCTCTTTGCAATAAGTTCATGGGATATCCAGTCTACGAATGTGATTATCAGTGGTGATTGATATCAATCAACGTTACATTATGGGTTGTTGACCAAGCGCAAGGTCAAGATGGCTGGATATAGGCTGAGTTCTTTTTTGCATATTTATGGACAGAGACAATTTTAGTTTGCTTCATGTACTTTTTTCTTGTGTTGGATGAAAGTAAATCGGAATATAGGATTCACTTCATTTTTCCCACAGGCTATACCAGCCATATAGTAAATGTTACTATAATTGTTCCAGTGATTATAGAGATGGGAGCACTCTGATTGGTCACAGATTGCATCATATCTTGCTATAATCACCGTGTGCTTGGTGATTATGGCTGGAGCACTAAATTTCAAAAAGGCTGCCTCATGTTTTGTCAATGTTACTGAGATAGGAGAATATTCAATATCAAAGAGTATGAAAGGCTAATCATGGGGATTTCAATATACTCATCCTCCTCTACTAATATATCAAGTAACAATTTGCAGAGATCTTTTTTGAAAGCTTTCTTTGGTAGATTGGTTATGCAGCTTGGTATCCCATTCCGCAGCTTAACTCCGAGCCGAGAAAAAGAATTGTTTTGTATTTCAAGTCTAGAATATTTAACATAAAACTTGCCAGACGTAGAAAATCGTGTATTGTATGAGTGGATATTAGATGCTTTCTGAAATAAATTTAAATGTGTTTGCTGGGGCTTTACCATTATTGATATCGTGCATTAAGGTTGATACGGACTGATTGTAAAGAAAAGTTATTGGAAGCACATTAGCTTCGAAAAAAAGAGGAATTGCGTGGTCATGCCATTCAGCAAAGTATAATAAATGAAGCACTCTTTTCTGAAGAATTAGTATTTTGTTAAGATAAGTCTTGCATGCCTGACCCCAGGCAGCAAGACCATAAGTTAAATAAGGATGAATTAATGACCAATAGATGTTCAGTAGTACAAGTCGGGGTACAAAATGGTGTAACTTTGCAATTAACCCGATAGTCTTACTAATTTTTGTTACAATGGAATCAATGTGATATTTCCATGAAAGATTCTGGTCAATAAGTACACCCAGGTATTTTATGTAGACTTAAGACTCGAGACAAGTATATTTATTCTTATCATTATCAAACATTTAAAGTTTTGGTTGGTAAGCAAGTTGAATTACGGTCAAGTCACCAACGGTTCAACTCGCCAACGCCAACTCGTCGACGTATAAAATTGAGTAGAGACGTCGGCGAGTTGGTCCTCAATCCAGTACAACTTATTAGAAGTTATACATGTAGAAGTGTAAATGATCTTTAGTAAAAAAAGACATTCTTTTTCTTCCAACAAAGTTTATAAGGATCTCAACTCAAACAAAACATGATAAACATTGCCAATTACTGTAGCAGCTTCAGATGTGAACGAGTTATATTTATTGTGTGACAACAACACCGTAAAGACTCATCGTGTCAATCGGTCAGATTTTTTTCAGAAAACTTGGCTTTCTAGACAAGATCTTTAGTAAAAATCAATTCTTTTTATTTCAAAAAAAAAAATTTAGAAGGATCTTAAGGCGAATAAAGCAAGAGAAACATCGCCAATAACTATAACAGCTTCAAACGAGAACGAGTTGTTGTGGACAACGATACTAAATACTCATCATGTCGATCGGTCAGACTTTTTAACAAGACTTAGCTTTCTAGACAAGATCTTTAGTAGAATGCAATTTATGTGTCCAATAAAGTTTTTAAGGATCCCATGGCGAACAAAGAAAGATAAACATTACCAATGACTGACAGATTCAGACGCGAACGAGTTATTTATTGTGTGACAACAACACTGCAAAGACTCATCATGTCAATCGGTTAGATTTTTTAAAGAAAACTTAGCTCTCTAGTTAAGAACTTACTAGAAAACAATCATTTTTATTTCCAACGAAGTTTATATATTAAGTAACTCAATTAAAACAAGATAAACATCGGTAACGACTTTAAAATCTTCAGACACGAATGAGTGTGACAACAACACCGTAAATACTCATCCTGTCAATCAGTCCGATTTTTAAAGAAAAATTGGCTTGCTAGACAAGATCTTTAGTGAAAAACAATTGTTTTTATTTGCTACAGAGTTAAAGTGATCTCGAGGCGAATAAAGCAAAGTGGACATCACCAATGACCAAAAAAAGCTGTAGACGCTAATGAGCTATTGCATGACAACCACAGCAATTACCACATGGTATTTGTGTGTTTTGTAGGTTAGCGGACCAAAACAGTTTATAAGTCAACATTTTACATGTTTATTCCTTACGATTTACTTAAGATGTTACTTTACTTCAAGTTTAAACACTCGATAAAAGTTCAGGCTATGTGACTCAAAATATCAGGCAACATGACTATGAGTTTCGGAAAACATGACTTCAAGTGAGGTCACTTTCGGGTGACTTGACCGGTTACCACTCGTTCGCGTCTGAAACTTTTACAGTCATTGTCGATGTTTATCTTGTTTTATTTGCGTTGAAATTCTTAAAAACTTCATTAGAAATGAAAAGAATTGTTTTTTTTAAAAAAGAACTCAACTAGAATACTAAGTTTTCTTTAAAAATCTGACCAATCGACATGATTAGTCTTTACGGTGTTGTTGTCACACTCACTTGTTCGCATTACGATGTTTACTTTTCTTTGCTCGCCATGAAATCCTTAAAAACTTTCTTGGACATAAAAAGAATTGCATTTTACTAAAGATCTTGTCTAAAAAGCTAAGTTTTCTTAAAAAAATCTAACCAATCGTCATGATGAGGCTTTATGGTGCTGTTGTCCACAACAACTCGTTCGCATCTGAAGCTGTTATGGTAATTGGCGATGATTATCTTGCTTTGTTAGCCTTGAGACCGTTATAAACTTTTTCGGAAATAAAAAGAATTGCTTTTTACTAACGCTCTTGTCTTGAAAGCCAAGTTTTCTGAAAAAAATTTCACTGATTGACATGATGAGTCTTTACGGTGTTGTTGTCACAATAAATAACTCATTCACGTCTGAAACTGCTATAGTAATTGGTGATGTTTATCATGCTTTATTCGTGTTTAGATCCTTCTAAACTTTGTTGGAAGAAAAAGAATGTTTTTTTTTTACTAACTTGTATATAGTTATTAAGTTATTTATTTAGTTTTACTATTGATGCTGAAAAGCCCTTTTCAGGTATGCTCAATAAAGTGTATGTATGTAAGGGAAAGGAAATATGGGGTATTGAGGGTATTTGTAGAGAAATCTAAATAAAAAACCACTTAATCAGTTGAACTGAAATTCAAACTGTACAATGAGTGAATTGCCAATAATCTCTTGTTTTCCCATTGTTTATTTCATCCCTCCAAAGGGCAACAGCTAGGGAAAAATTTCCATTTTAGCTGAAAATGACTTCTCCCTTTGAGAAGAAGATCTATATCCTAAGACGCCATATTTTTTTGGCAAAAACAATTATGAAAACAGGCTGTACACTCAATCCCTCATAAATACAACTGAAAAGGCTTTATATTGAGCTATTTCCTAGCTGTTTATAGCTAACTTTCTAATCATTTGAGACCATTGTGCAATGCAAATTACTTAATAAACCTTTTGCATTGTTATTCAAACAAAAAGTTACACTTCCCTGGTGTCAGCATTACCTTGATCTATTTCAATCTTATAAAGTGACAAAAATGCCATGATAAGTATATCCAAAATTGTCTGTTTGGACATCAGAACCACCTTTCACTATAAATTTCCTTGCAGCAACTTGCAATGTTTGCATTTTGGCAGTCCCAGAAATCTTTGCACAAACACAACTCATTCATAACGTTTACATTTTGTGCAGGATGATAATGTGTTTTTGCTGTTAGTAGTTGTTGTTTTGTTTTTAATTAAATTATTACTGTTCATTTTGACCAAATTTCATCATCTTTCAGATCATCTTTGCCCCTACAACTGGATGCAACTATGGATCATTTTCAGTGAATTTCCATAGCATTCGAAATGTTGAGGTTAGCATTCCTGGAAACTATTATAGTAATAATTGTTATTTAAAGAGTGATAAAAAACATAAATCTCCATGACACCACAGGAGGGACTCATTTCTCAAAAAATATACTATTATAGAAAATTTTTCTCATGATGCTGAAGTCCATTTTTTTCTTTTCTCTGCCTAGATTTACACATTTCAGTCTGTGCTTTACTGGAGACGTAAATGTGATGTGTTTGGTCAATATATTTAGACAGCTTAGCCTTTCTGAAGGTTTAGGAATTAAACAGAAAAACATTGCACCCCATTTGCCAAAGCTCTATAGTTTACAGAAAGTGAAAGAAGCTTTCAATCAGCTAGAGGGCCACAGGTTTGTCAGCTTTTCAGCTGTTACGTGTCCCCCTCTATAAATAAAGTCCTTACTTACTTACTTACTTACTAACTAATGTGCTGTTTGATACTTTTAAGGTCAAACAACCCATGTTTGGTGCAAATTATGTCAAGGGGGATGTAATTTCTGAGGCAGATGGTAAGTTAAGAGTAACAAGTGCAAAATCATACTCAAAAAGTTATTTGAACAGAAGCTAAATAGTCAAGTTAAAAAAGTATATGGCAAAACATTCAACCAAGCTCTTTCTAGTTTACAATTTAGTTACCAAAGGGAGAAAATAACCCTTTAATTTCTTGGCCAGTGTTTTCTTTCATTTGGCAAGACTGGTGTAGAAGAAGGGTGGTGTAGAACATTTCATTTGGGAACCTGGTAATGGATAGTTCTGTTTATTTGTAAAAGGTAAAAGAGTGTACAAGATAATGAGGTTTTGACCTCAGTTTTGTCCTGAAATTTATTTTATTTCTTATTAGGAGGTTGGCAAGGTAGAGGAACCTTCAAAGTAACCTTCAATAGTGGTGGAGCTATAGAATTTGCAGAACACTTCAGACATGCTGTTACTAACGGTGAGTCAATTACTTTTACAGGGATTTTGATGAAAGGGGTACTGCAGGGTTCTCGGTAGTTTTTAGTCAGATGGCCAAGGAGTAATTACAGGCGGCTAAACTTCAGCCCAAAGGGCTGAGGTGAGGCCCAGGGGGCCAAGCTTCTAGGAGGGTCTGGGGGCATGCCCCCCTGGAAAATTTTGAAATTCTATGTTTGCAGGGATACGGTTTCCTGCATTTTGGGGCACCAACTTTTGTATTTAGGTAATTGGATTAACTTGGCAAAAAAGCCTCAAACACATGCATAAAATGAACTTTACTAGTTGTACTTTGTAAATATTGATTTACATTGACAAGAAATGTAGGTCACCTGTAAAGTTAGTTATATTGTTCTTGTAATTATCACTGCAGCAGCTTAATACAATTATAATAACCACCCTGCCTTCTCTGCGGTCTTTCTGTGAACTTTTACATTAATTAATAATTTCAAAAATTGATCTGGAGGTGACAAAGACTAATTGGAATTGTTATACTTATTAGCACTTTATACCACAATTATGTGTAGCCTGGAGTGGTATGAAAGGTAAACATTTGTGTCCAATAAACTGAATCATCATCGATCCCACTTTATAATTGACAACATTCTTAGATAAACAGGTCCTCCTGTTCACTGTCATCACACTCAGAATAAATTCCTTCATCAACAAAACTGTCAGCAGCAAGATTGAGTGCAGTTGTGGCCAATGTTGTTTCATCTGCAATGGTGCTGGGAGCAGCAACCAGGCTGGGAGCATCAAGAAGCTGGCCTGGCTCAGGGTTTTCTGGCTCTTGCTGAACCGTCTGTACAGCTGCATCAGCGGCTGTGGGTACAGTTGCAGGGTGGCTTGCTGTCTCCTTGTCTCCTTGTCAGGATGCTGTGCTGCCTGCTATCTTGGAAGCTTCCTTCGTCTCTTCTGAGTCTCCCATAGTTCTATGGCAGCAGACATCAGTGACTCACACTGTGGAGTGCCAACTCTCGGGCCATTGATGGTGATTGCTAGAAGTGTATGAAGCATCTCAACTGACAACCTACTCCTGAGTCTTGTCTTGACACGATTCACGCCATTACAGCCATGCTCTGGCCAAGCATTCAATACAGGCATTGAAAGGGACACCTCGGCAATGTGAACTAGTGCTGGAAATACAAAACTGTAAGCAGTTTGAAGTTTCATGAGTCTTGTAAGGCACCATTCTGTAGAAGTTGTCGTGTGGCTCTTCTTTACCTCCTCTGGAATGGTAGGTTTCCAACTGGCTGAGTCATACTTGAACTTTTCCCATTCTGCAATAAGCTGGTGTTTTTCGGGGTTGCCTGAGTAGAAGTGCTTGGCCAAGATAACCACCTCTTTCTTACCGTAATCCGCAAAGCCAGGCGATCCAGGATTTGGAACAGCCAAGGATCAAAGATGGAGAAAGCACTCACCACTGGCAAGGCATCATCAAATCTCTGGTGGATGTTTGCTTTCAGTGAACTCACATAGTTATTGAGGAGGTTTAAGAGCTGTTCCTCCATGGCAGGGGTCAGGCTAACTTCTGAGAGATTCAAGCATGCCCCAGGCAGAAGATCCCTCTTCAAATCAAGGATAGGTGCCTTTGTATTATGCTACTAAGCTTATCAAGAGTGAAGTCAACGGAGGGCTTGATGTGAGAGAAATTTATTTTTCCCTTCTGAAAGGTCTTGCTGAGGGAAGAGAGTATAGGAAGGACAGCGTTCAAGATATAAATGGCTCCTGACCAATGAATTTTGCCGTCTTGACTTTGCTGAGGAGACCACATGCCACAGCATCCTCATGTTTGAGTTGTCCCAATGTCTGAAGAACTGCTAAGTAGTCGTCAAACAGTGCAGACGTAGCAGCATGAAATGAAAGCCATCTTGTCTGACACACTTTTTTAAGCTTCTTTCCAACAATCTTCTTGCCCTTGTCTGACAGATGAACAGATTTTAGCTCCAGCTGTACTTTATAAACTAATTGCGATTTTGAGACAGCAGTACCACATTATATTGACAGCTAGTTGGTATTCCCATCTCAAAATCGCAATTAGTTTTGTATCGCGATCCAGCATTTATAAGGATAAATAAAACTGTAAAAGGACGTCGATGTACTAGACATCAATGTGAAAACCGAAACAGCCACCTCGAGTGAAAACAGTGGGCAGAAAAGTACAGAAAATGAGCAGAATATAATAACACTTTGAATTCTTGCCAGATTAACATTCATTTTCCAACTGGCAAGTGACTTTGTCACATTATTACAATGTTTATGACTGTAAAAGTCGAATTTTCAATAAATACTGTTGAACTTGAAGTGAAATATTTGTACAATCATTTGAATGCGGCAGTAATTTGTTTATGTACGTCAGCAACCCAATTTAGTGCAACGACCTCAATTTCAAAATTAGAACCAATCACAGGCCGCAAAAGTGAGACGGCAATACCACGAAATATTGACTGCTTGCACATAGCCAAAACTATAAGAAGATCATGATACTCGTATACATTGCCATCCATTTTGGTGAGTTTTCAAACATCTTCCACAGTTGCCTTAGCCAAAGTTCAGTGTTCTTTATGTAAGTAATGTTGCTAGTGGTGTCAGTACAGGCAAGGGCTGTTTGTGGCACAAGCAGTAAAATGTGATCACTTGACTGTTCACTTCCTTGAGATGGGTTGCCACTCCTGAATGAGCACCAGTCATGACAGCAGCTCCATCAGAGGCCATTGAGCTTAGGTTTTGAAGCTGGAGACCACACTCATCTATTTTTTGGGTTAGGATGTTGAACATTGTTTCAGCATTGGCAGAGGTTGAAGTCTTTAAGATGTTTTCTACAAACAAGAAGTTTTTTTCCACTCTCCCCGTTTCGTGGTTGAAAAACTGTATAAAGGTTACCAGAATTTCCATCACTGAGATGTCTGTTACCTCATCACACAGTAACCCATGGCAGCCTGCTTTCTTCGCATTGTTTAAAATCCTTTTCATGAGGGTTGAGCCAGTCGCTAAGAAAATAGATATAATTGTCTCCTCCCCTGAATAATGAAAAGAACTTCATGTTTTCCGGGCTTACAATTTTGAGCAGATTCACCAAAGAAGAAAATTTATGGTTTGCAGTTTCCTCCTTAGCAATCCAATATGCCACTAGAAAAGCATTCATCAGCACCATATCCTTTACCTTTTCCTTCTCAGTTATTTCCTTATGAAATAAGGAAACGCGACAGAGCATCTCTGCCTCAATGGCATCCTTGTGTTGTTGAGATGCAGAATAATCTTGCCAATTTTTTGAAGCGCACACTTGGAGTTACATTGTATGCTTTCGATTTGTTCTTTTTGTTTTCAGTGTTATGTTTCTTACATAGAAAACAGAACATTCCCTGGCCTTCTTCATAAATTAGCCAAAAAATACCTGTTGTTTGACAAAAAGAAAGGCTCTTATCAGACAACCAGCTATGGGCAAATTTGTCATGGCTACGACTTGACAAATGTGATACTTCTCCCTCCGAGAGCCTATTACCAGTACAACTTTTTCCTTGACATTCATAATGGTTGTGACGATGAGAAACGGTGGCATCCTCTTAAGAAAAAATCTCGTCAATCTCCTTCAACAAGTGATTGGTTTCTTGCTTCTTAACTTCTTTTGGAGTGACTTCTACCAGGTGTGTTGTAATGAGGACTTCAGAAAGGTTTTCTTAGGGGACGTCTGCAGCTGGGGAGTTTGTTGAAGGTTCAGGTCTGCCTTTTGATACTCCTAAACCCAACGCAGACAGAAAAACTACTTTTATACACGAAATAACAAAATATCAAATAAAAATTGAGGAAAAATGTTCTATTAATTTCGTTTTCATTCACAGTAGAACCACATACACAAAAACTCACTCGGGTACATTTAATTTAGTCAATCTATGTTGATTAAATTATTTCACAATGTTTTCATTCACGGCTATAAAATAAACAGATTACTGATTCTTCATTTTGACTTGGTGAAATTTGCTTTCTAGAAACTTATCTTGAATTATTTTTATGTTATTAATATATTGATTTCAAGGGGAATGATGTTTCTTTCACATTTAGTACCAGTCATTAAACCGTGACTAAATTTTGAAAACAGCTGCAGAGACACGTCATGATCCAAACGCTGTCGCAATAAAGCTGAATTATTTATTCTACTAAACATCTCATTTATAGTTTTATCAAATATGATTCTATTAAAGTGAGATTGAGTCCAGAAAGATGAAATATTTGATCATTGATCTTACAACCTCTAATCAACTTATTGTAAAGTAAAACTTACCGCTATTGTTTTCTTCGTTCTTCTTCTTTTTCGCTGTTGATGTGAAATAACTGAAGAGCGACTGGTCTCATTTGGACACATTTGAAATCGCAAAGGGCCAAGGACTTCTTCCGTTTGCAATGAAAAATATAGCGTGTTGGCGTGCACAAATTCGCTGTGGTTCATTTAAACATGTGCATTTCATGACTGACACGTTGATGCGATTGATAAAGGTGTTAAAGGTCAACCATAACAACTGTAGAACAATTTGCGACAGGGCACTCCTGTTACTCAAGAATGAAAGCGCGTTAGTGGGTTCCTAAGCAGAAAATTCAAGAATACTTCTTTAATACCCATTTATACTTTATTGAAAAAATTTGGCACACAAAGGCAAATTTCATTGCCAGCACAGGCAGCTACTTTCTTCTTGACAGGTGGCGGAATTCACTGGTTGCCAGCTTCTACTGAGAACCCTGTACTGGTAGCTTTCTGCTACCTACAAACTTCATACCCTCTTAACTTGATTAAAAAAGTAGTAAATGTCTTTTCAATTGGGCAGTGTCTGTATTTCTTGAGTGTAAAACTTCATCAAAATGCCTTTCCTTTAACTGACTTAAACTGAACCAAATGCTTTCTTAGCCCGTAGGCCTGGATCTCACCCTCCACCACAAGCACCTGGACAGCCAGTGATAATGAATGGAGGCAGTATGTACAACAATATGTACCCAGCTCAAGCTGGCTATTATGGAGCCCCTGGACAAGCATTTTACCTGCCTCCGCAATATGCAGGATATGCAACCTATCCACCTCCAGGTACAGTCTTGTTACCGTTTGTACTGTATGGACATTAAACTACAACTATTTTTTAGTTTTGGTGCTTAGAAGTGATTGACATAGCTACCCACTAGAAATAAGAGACTGAGTCTGCGGGCATGTATGGGACATGTATGTATGGGCTGTCATCAAAGACCTAGATTCTTAAAGGATCCTGGTCAACCACAGGACATTGCACCTTTATTTATGCCATCTAAATTTGTGAAATTTCCGTTGGTGGTGTATCATCCAAATAAAATTCTCACAGAAATATTCTGAAATTATCAGCAGTTTATTCTGGGTAATTGTTGTAGTGGTTTCTCACAATTTTCTTGACAAATTTCTTGTTTGTAACTGGGACCATCAATAGCATCTTGCATTCCTACACATAAGAAGGCCTAAAGCTATGGAGCAGATGGAAATGACTATGCTTCCACAAGTCTGTTCTCCCTGTGTGGAAATCTTTCTGTTTCTAATTTTTGCTACAAATTGCCAAAATTGTTAAGAATGGTCACCTATACAGTTTAATCTAACTTCTAAGCTGCATACAAGTTTCAATGACATTCATACAATTAAATGTGTAGTTCTGAGTCAAATATAAGCCATAAGCTTAAAGTGGCTTATAACATCTGTAGCTTTTGGCTCAATTGCCATAAAAATATTTTATTTTTTTATTGGGCAAGGGTTACACATAGTTGGAAGGGTTTTTCATGATTAAATTTTACAACAAATGGTAGGATTTACATTTAATAGCAACATGTAGAAGGAATGGAGATCTTATGTGGTCTCTAAGAATTTGGCCCAGCCACAGTATTTGGCACCTCTATCATATGATGTAACTATGTCATAACTAAGATGAGGGGAGTGCCAAGTCCCTTCATCTGCCAAGGACATGTATTTCATTCATTGACAAGTGATATTTTACTTTTGACTTGGATTTCAGTTGGTGTAATGGGTCAACCTCCACCATATCAACCCCAGGTAAGTTTCTATTGCTGTTCAGCTTGAATCAGATTTTTTTATTCAAGAATAATTCCAACTACTCTTATTATCTAGCTTAACTGTATCATTTCTACAAGATTTCCAAATCATAACATTGCAGCAAGACATCGATACAATAAATCTTTGATCTCTGAAGTTGAAATTTTTAACACTCCTAAATCTAATAAAAAAAAAAGACTTAGGAAGTCTAGCTTCTTCCCGAAATTTGCAATCATTAAAATATGTTATTTAAGCATTAAGTTAACTGCTGTTTGACTCTGCAACAGGAAAATCCCCCTCCTTACCCAGGACAAGCTCCACCCTCTGCACCCCCTCCTACTGATGGCCATTTTAATTATTCCTATGGAGGTTAGTGGTCACTGATAATCCTTGTTCTTTAATCAGCATGTAAGGAGGGGCAACAGAAATGTAAATCCCCTCAGTGTAAGTCACAAAGTAGTGCAGGTCTGGAAGAAAAATAACGGCAGACCAAAATATTGGGCCATCACTTGGCATAGATCACAAGACTTTAGAGCCCTTTTTCATCCAGTTCATTAGACTTTTTTTTTGGGGGGGGGGGGGTAAATAATGTGTTCTAGGGCTGAAAACTTGTATCTTTTTTATGTAAAATTTTAGCAGCTCTCTTTGTTTATAACCTCAGAAAATGTCTTTGTTTCCCTAAAATTAGTTTTAGAACCGTGTCTCTCCATGCGAAGTGTCTCTCCATGCGAATACAGACTTTGTAACAATAAGCAAAAGAAATTTCTCACTCACCCTTTCCTGGGACCACAGGGTGGTTTTTTTCTTCAATTATGTCATTCTGTTATCTGAATTTTTGTTATCTTCACTCTTTGTCTGATTGTATTATGTGGTGTGCTTGGTGTTAGATAGTTACATTCTAATACCTTTGACAGATGCAAAAGCAAGAGAAGTTTATAGCACTGGACAAAATGTATATGTACCAGCCCCTCAGGTACGTGAAGAGAGGATTGTGATATTGATAGCACATAGGATCCTAGCTTTGTGTTGATCTGGCCCACAATGTAAACCACTGGGTCCACCAGTAGTTGTGAATTAGCCATTTAAATATTTATTTATTATGTATTGTAAGTTGCTTACAATCTGGTGTGATCACCTTTCATTATGTAATAATCAATATGTAATTGGCAGTATAGATACTTTTAGGTGTCTGTGTTATTTAAGTCAGTAAGTAAAGCCCACACAGCCTTGGCAAAGGATACATGTTGACTTTGCTGTTCTTTTTTTTTTTTTTTCAATGGTTGGATGTTCCCTATTGTAGTGAACAGCAAATCTAAGTGGATTGAAGTTTTTCTGATGACAGCAATTATAGCTATAGCAACCATTCTGTACCATTCAAGCCTTAAGATTTCTGTTCACAACTCATGGTTTGCCAGAAGAGATAGTATTGGACAATGGTCCACCGTCTGTTGCTCAAAAAATGAAAGATTACCTTATTTAAAGGGAATCCATCAATGCTTGTTGGAAAAACTTCAGCCTCTTCAATATTGAAGAATTCACCCTTTAATTGTCGCAGTCAACACAAGAAACACTGAGCACAAGGCAGTGTTTCCCAGAGAGACTGTGACTGATTGCAAAAAGATGATCTTGTGTATTAAACAAGCAACTAACCACAACCTTAAGGTGTCTTGTTATCAGAGAAAGAAATTCTGTTGTGTCTGAGAAAGTTGACCTAGCTGGCTATTCTGGTGTATTTGCATTGACAAACTTAACATGTAGTCCAATTGAAAGGATTTGTAATTTTTGTTGCTGGTTGATACTTGCACTCTCTGATACTTCATCGTTTTAGGTAATGATTAGGATGTTTTTTTTCTTTTTTTTTCCATAGGCTCCACCTCCCTATGCACCACCCCCTTACAATGACAAGAAGAATGATTGACTGAAAATAATGGAATCATGGAACAGAATATTTGTTAAAATCTCATAAATTAAGTAAAGTTTCATGGCTAATTCCCAGACACTTGCGGGGACCATAGTGCTACATAGTATGGTGAACGTCCTTGCAATTGATAAGTGAATTTGTATTTACTTCATGATATTGTAAAATTGAACGAGGTAGTCAGATTGTTTATTAATAAGGTATACCGTCTGGTGTTGATTTTGTGATGTTTATAAGTTCAATAGTCCAAAGCACAATAATCCCGGAAAATTTCTCCTTATTATAGAAAATTTACAGTGCTCAAAATTAGGAAAAAATCCAGGTTGCCCTTGGGGCAAATGCCAGACAACCAAGCCCCTGACTTTGGTTGCACTGATGTGAACTTGGTTACCCTTAACATTTTCAAAGCAGCAATCCGACATTGCCCACAAATGCACTCAGGCATGATGTCAAGCCCTTCGGCTACTTGTCAGCAGTTAGTCGCAGGAGATAAATCCCAGTTAGGTCATGTGTAGTTTCAAAAGAATCAATACTCTACAGTAGTATTGATAATTTTCTATCCAACCTCGGTATCGCTGGTATTGAATATTTGGTATTGGTATCAGCCCATCTTTACTTATTGAATTGAGTGAACGGCGTTAATTAATTATCACAACCTTCCTGTGTGGATCCACCTGTCATTATCAGAAGATAAACCTCACATTTTAGGCTATTTTTGTGTCTCAAGTTCATAGCTTCTGTTCTTTATTCTGTTAGGCATCACAGTAATGTAAGTACTTCGATTTTTCCTGGGTTGTCCAGTGAATTCTTCTTGGGCAACCTGCCCTTTATTTTTCCTAAAATCTGGTTACCCAAACAAAGTTTTAGTTGTCTCAAGCAATTGGGCAACTGCTGATTTAGAGCACTAAATTTAAATAAAAAGTGACAACATTAAATTGTAAAAAGACTGATTCAGAGGAGTGCTTTTCAAGCGATTGTCATCAAACTTAGACCAAAGTGCATAGTCACATCAGCCAATCAGAATAAAAGTAATAAAATGTTATCTACTTCAAGCATAGGAAAGTGTGACTGACTTAGTCTTGATCAGAATGATTTGTTTTGGAATCATTTTGGTTGCCAAGGTAGTTGTGAGTTTTTGAGATTGTTGATATTCTCCTGTCTCCAGGTCCAGTTATTCCTTATCATGGTGATGAAGATTCTTAGACCTAAGTAAAATAAAGACAGGTATCACCAGCTCTCAGTAACATATAAGAACTTGACTATTTACCAGTCAATTTGCAAAATGAGAAGTCAAACCCCTCACATGGTTTATAACTTGAGAAACACACATGGGGTATGGGGAGAACTCTTAACATTGCAAATGGGTTTATCACACTTGAGATCCCCGGAGAATGTGCTGTATTGCTTAAATGACATAGCTGTGAATGGCATTTGAAAGGAAGAGCAGATGATTTACTTGAATTTCTTTACTTGGCTACAACGGAGTCAAAGAGGAATCAAAAGAAAACTTACCCTTCCTCTTTGTACAAAACCTGGCCAAAAATAAAAATTTCACATTATTAGATTAAATGCAGAAGTTTGAAACTCTGTGATTTCAAGTTTTATTCGCAGATAGCGAGAGATTCCAATTTTTCGTTTAGCAATGATCACTGTTAGTCCAAGAAACTGAAATGAGATGGTAATAATTGATGAGAAAGCTCCTGAGAAATGCAATTAAAATATGGTGCCATGCAAATCTCAAGGCTCTTAACACTTAAACAGAAGTCCTGATTCATATGAATGTTACATGTTTAAATGGTTTTCACGGAAGTGATAAGGAGAAATACGTTTTTTGCTTCAATCAACAAGCTCTAATGATCTTGATTTGACTTTTCGTATGTAAGGTTAAGAGGGTTTTAATTTCTCTTGACTTTCGTTTCTCCCAGGCCAACCACTTCGCATCAAATCCCCTGACATCTGGCCCAATTTCATCCTCGTAAAGCTCACTTTCACTGGAGCTTGTGTACTCTATCATGAGGCATTAATTTTTCATTCACTCCTTTTTTCTGGCATCATCCTAGTCCAGCTGGGCTGGGGGTGTCTCGAAAACTTAGACCCCACACCCGAAAAACTCAGACCCTCAGGGTGTCTCAAAAACTCACACCCGAAAAATAAAACATATTTCCACCCCGAGTTGTTTACTGTTCGTCGATACAGTGGAATTACGTGCACTGATCATGAAAACTATCTGCCGAGAAAAGAAAAAAACAGCTTGCAGTGTTCGTATAGATTTTTCTTTTTGTTATCGTATAAGCCAAGTATATATCCACAACGTGTCGTGTCATATGAAGCCATTCGCGAGGTGTGTTTTCCCCCAAAAAAAAAACATTCTTTCCATTCGTTAATCATGAAGTTCTGGTGACGTGTTTTCTCGCCACTTCTTTATTTTACATTCCATCATGCATGGTGGTCAAAGGTTTATTGAAAGGTAAAGCATTCATGTTAGGTCCATATCATGTCCCAATAACTAATACACATTAATACCAAGTATTAAAACCTTAATCTATGTTACACGATATATCCTATGTTCCATCAGTTACCTTTGTTCTACCCCATTAACCCCCATCTACCCTAATTTACCCATATTCTACTACGTTTACCCTCATCTACCCTAGGTAACCCATGTTCTACCCCGTTTACCCCCATCTACCCTTGGTTAGCCACGTTCTACCACGTTCACCCTCATCTACCCTTGGAAACCCATGTTCTACCACCTTTACCCCCATCTACCCTAGATAACCCATGTTCTACCACGTTCACCATGACCTACCCTAGGTAACCCATGTTCTACCACGTTTACCACCATCTACCCTAGGTGAACCATGTACTGCTCCTTTTACCCTCATCTACCCTAGGTTAGCCATGTTCTACCACATCACCCTCGTCTACCCTACGTAACCCATGTTCTACCACATTCACCCTCATCTACCCTAGGTAACCCATGTTCTACCCCGTTTACCCCCATCTACCCTGGGTAATCCATGTTCTACCATGTCGACCCGCATCTACCCTAGGTAAGCCATATTCTACCACGTTCACCCTCGTCTACCCTTAGTCGCCAATGTTCTACCCCGTTTACCCCCATCTACCCTAAGTAACCCATGTTCTACCACGTCTACCCCCATCTACACTAGGTAACCCATGTTCTACCACGTTTATCTCCATCTAACCTAGGTAACCCATGTTCTACCACGTTTATCCCCATCTACCCTAGGTAACCCATGTTCTACCACGTTTACCCCCATCTACCCTAGGTAACCCATGTTCTACTTCGTTTACACCCATCTACCCTTGGTTAACCATGTTCTACCACGTTCACCCTCATCTACCCTTGGAAACCCAAGTTCTACTCCACTTCTCCCATCTACCCAAGGTAACCCATATGCTACCACATTCACCCTCATCTACCCTAGGTAACCCACGTTCTACAAGTTTACCCCTAACCACCCTAGGTAACCCATATTCTACCACGTTTACCCTCATGTACCCTAGATAACCCATGTTCTATCTCGTTTACTCCCATCTACCCTTGGTTAGCCATGTTTTAGCACGTTCACCCTCATCTACACTTAAAAACCCATATTCTACCACGTTTACCCACATCTACCCTAGGTAACCCATGTTCTACCACGTTCACCATAACCTACCATAGGTAACCCATGTTCTACCACGTTTACCACCATCTACCCTAGGTGAACCATGTACTGCTCCTTTTAACCCTCATCTACCTTAGGTAACCCATGTTCTACCCCGTTCACCCCCATCTACCCTAGGTAACCCATGTTCTACCATGTCTACCCGCATCTACCCTAGGTAAGCCATGTTCTACCACGTTCACCCTCTCCTACCCTTAGTAACCCATGCTCTACCCCGTTTACCCCCATCTACCCTAGGTAACCCATGTTCCACCACGTTTACCCCCATCTACCCTAAGTAACCCATGTTCTACCACGTCTACCCGCATCTACCCTAGGTAAGCCATGTTCTACTACGTTTACACCCATCTACCCTTGGTTAACCATGTTCTACCACGTTCACCCTCATCTACCCTTGGAAACCCATGTTCTACCCCGTTTCCCCCATCTACCCAAGGTAACCCATGTTCTACCACGTTTACCCTCATGTACCCTAGATGACCCATGTTCTATCTCGTTTACTCCCATCTACCCTTGGTTAGCCATGTTTTAGCACGTTCACCCTCATCTACCCTTGGAAACCCATGTTCTACCCCGTTTACCCCAATCTACCCTAGGTAACCCATGCTCTACCACGTTCACCCTTATCTACCCTAGTTAAGCCATGTTCTACCACGTTCACCCTCATCTACTCTAGGTAACCCATGTTCTGCCACTTTTACCCCCATCTACCCTTGGTTAGCCATGTTCTACCACGTTCACCCTCATCTACCCTAAGTAACCCATGTTCTGCTCTACCACGTTTCCCCCATCTACACTAGGTAACCCATGTTCTACCCCGTTTACCCTAATCTATCCTAGGTAACCCATGTTTTACCCCGTTTACCCCCATCTACCCCTGCTTAGCCATGTTCTACCACGTTCACTCTCATCTACCCCATGTAACCCACGCTCTACCCGGTTTACTCTCATCTACCCTAGGTAAGCCATCTTCTACCACGTTCACCCTCATCTACCCTAGGTAACCCATGTTCTACCACGTGTACCCCCGTCTATCCTTGATTAGGCATGTTCTACCACGTTTACCCCCATCTACCCGTATTTACTCATGTTGTACCCAGTTTACCCCCATCTAGCCTTGATTAACATGTTCTATCACGTTCACCCTCATCTACCCTAGGTAACCCATGTTCTACCACGTTTACACGCATCTACCCTTGGTTAGCCATGATCTATCATGTTCACCCTCATCTACCCTTGGTTAGCCATATTCTACCACGTTCACTCCTATCTACCCGCATCTACTCATGTTCTACCCAGTTTACCCCCATCTACCCTTGATTAACCATGTTCTACCATGTTCATCCTCATCTACACTAGGTAACCCAAGTTCTACCACGTTTACCCCCATCTACCTTCATTTACTCATGTTCTACCCAGTTTACCCCCATCTACCCTTGATTAACCATGTTCTACCACGTTCACCGTCATATACCCCAGGTAACCCATGTTCTACCACGTTTACCCCCATCTACCCTTGGTTAGCCATGTTCTACCACATTCACCCTTATCTACCCTTGGTTAGCCATATGCTACCACGTTTACCCTAACTACCCGCATTTACTAATGTTCTACCTAGTTTACCACCATCTACCCTTGATTAATCATGTTCCACCACGTTCACCCTTATCTACTCTAGGTAACCAATGTTCTACCACGTTTACACGCATCTACCTTTGATTAGGCATGTTCTACCACGTTTACCCCCATCTACCCGTATTTACTCATGTTGTACCCAGTTTACCACCATCTAGCCTTGATTAACCATGTTCTACCACGTTCACCCTCATCTACCCTAGGTAACCCATGTTCTACCACGTTTACACACATCTATCCTTGGTTAGCCATGTTCTATCATGTTCACCATCATCTACCCTTGGTTAGCCATGTTCTACCACGTTTACCCCTATCTACCCGCATTTACTCATGTTCTACCCAGTTTACCCCCATCTACCCGCATTTACTCATGTTCTACCCAGTTTACCACCATCTACCCTTGATTAACCATGTTCTACCACGTTCACCCTCATCTACCCTAGGTAACCCATGTTCTACCACGTTTACACACATCTATCCTTGGTTAGCCATGTTCTATCATGTTCACCATCATCTACCCTTGGTTAGCCATGTTCTACCACGTTTACCCCTATCTACCCGCATTTACTCATGTTCTACCCAGTTTACCCCCATCTACCCTTGATTAACCATGTTCTACCACGTTCATCCTCATCTACACTAGGTAATCCAAGTTCTACCACGTTGACCCCAATCTACCTTCATTTACTCATGTTCTACCCAGTTTACCCCCATCTAGCCTTGATTA